AGGGCTGTGTCACTTAAATGTAAGTGATTCTGGAGTATTTACTGAAATGACTGCTGCAGTTTTCTGTGCAAATGCTGTATTTAGTATGCTTTCCCTTCCATTTATTTCTACTGCACATGATATGTTTTCTATTTCGGCAGTGATTCATACTGATTTCAGTCCATGTCAAACTTGATTACTGGCACTTTTCCTCCAGTTTAAGCTGCCTTAAAGGTGCAAAGTACAGATACTTAGCAGGTGCTTTCTGCTAGTGTTCTTTAATGAGTCAGTGCTAGACCATGATCAGGTCAGTATATTCATCCACTTCTGTTTTAAAGGCGAATAAGTACCAGTACTCATGAGGGAAATTATCTGCAATGTACCACTTACAGAAAACTGCAATTACCACATGCATTGCTAAACTGTTCTTGGGTTGTTTTGAGTGGACTACAATGTGTATGACGTGCAAAAGTTCCTGGGCTCTGGCTCCTTTCAGGCTTTCAGTTCCTTCGACAAACTTCACAACACTCAGAACTATAAGCTGTGCTTGGCAAATTGCACATGGCAAATTGGGAGAGCTGGGGGTTAGCGGAGAGTCGAGGCGGGGGGACTGGAGGATGCGTTGTTGTCAGGTATCAGAGTGAGGATGTGTCCCAGCAGTCCCAATTGTCCTGAAGAGCTCTGCCATGGAGACCCCTCCCCTGTGCAGCGTGGGACCGATGAGTTCGGCGAGGTGGAGCCACATTTCTGTCAAGTCTGCGGCGGCGAAGTCTGCAACTCCCAACATCTCATTCAGACCTTCAAAGGACTGCTCTGCCGGCAGGACTGCTGACCTGGTCATCTCAAACAGCAGCAGGCCCATATTCCTCCGAGCGTTACTGCTGCTCTCGAATGTCAGGTCCAACGCAAACCTCACAAACACACGGAGCAGAGAGGGGCTGGTTCGCTCCGTCACATGCTGCAGGGTTTCTTGCAAGTTGTTAGTGAGCATGTATTTATCTATTATACACTCGGAAGATGGTCTTGCTCTGATGGTGAGTGTTTCACAGTGGGGCCAGTCTCTTGTTTCTCCAGCTGTAGGTTGTTGCTGTCCTCTTTCTTATCCAGAGTCATCAGCTGTGGCTTTTCATCCACAGTGAGCTCAGGCTGGGCAGCAGAGCCTTGAGGCTGCATCCTCAGTCTGAGTCTCTCTGCAGCCAGTTTGTCCCGGGGATGTCACAGGATAAGCGGCTGTGGGGCTGAGGCTGAGGACTGGCTGTCAGTGGCTTTAACATTCTCAGAGGTCACATTGAACTCAGACATCCAGTTTCTCTGCCTCAAGTCTGCTGTGTCCTTCAGCATGAGGGAAACCCTGGGTGACATCTTTCCCTCCTTCCTGACGCTGTCCATTCTGTCAAAGGGGAAGTCCATGTCCCGCTTTGCTGTCGCCACCTCCAGGTCTTTACCGACTGTCCTGAGGAGCTCGCACAGACACTCCAGAGACTCCTCATCTCTGTTCTTCAGCAGTCTCTTGACGCAGCTGTGCATGGCAGATACACTCAAGGATCTTTGCTTTGAAGAGCTCCCAGATGAACTTGATGTTATTGACTGAGCAACAGGAAGCTTCAGCGTTGTCCAGCTCCTTCTTCAGTCGCTCGAGCTCTTCTTACTGTTGACATGTTACAGAACACATATACGTTAGACTTATACGTCGACGTCAACACAAATTATTTGGGACATTATTTTCTCTTAATGATAGAAAATATGAGTTTTGAGCAAAACTTTTAATTCAACAAAAGGAAGATAATTCTTACATCCTTCAGTCTCCAGCCGTCTCTGCCTCCTCTCGAAGACGTCGTCTCTGCCATGGTTTTGTTCAAACTCTGTGTCTGATGAGCAGAGTTTGGAAGCTGACAGAGGCTGTTGTAGTTGAGACATACATCTGAGGAAGAAACCACAAGGAGGCCTTGTAAAGACAAATTCACCTCACATTCTTTGGAAAACATAGTGATATTCATTCGGAAAGTGTTTGGTGTGTGCTGCTTTATGAGCTTTGCAGACTCAAAATGAATGAGTGCAAATCAAGGTCAGAAACAGCTGAAAAAAAAAAAAATCTGGGAAAAAACAAGTCAGCCTGTAGACGATATTTTTCACACAGCTGATGAAGTCTTTGGGCTTCTCCCTTTCAGAGAGAGCTTTCACTTTACACTCCCTCTGTTGGGGCACCTTCTTCATCCTGCTGTTGTTGGCGCGGCGTCCGGGTGCTTCTTCCTGGAACAGTTGTGTGAACCAGAAGCCTCACTCTGTTTGGGGCCTGTCTTCTGCTTCCTCTGGGCGGATGAAAATCCAACAGCAACGTTGACTTCTTGCTCTTTGGAGAAGGCAGAGTAGACAAAGATGACAGGCTCAGTCAGAGTGAAATCTGTCTTCTTGCTTCTAAGGTTTGAAGGATCTCTCTTCTTCCTTGTGGAAGCTGAAGGCTCCAAAAAAAAACACTGGCTCCCTTTCACTGAGCCTCCTATAGATCCCTCTCTTCTCCTCTGCTGTCAGAGGAACTGGCATGAAGGTCATGAAAGTCAGGCCTTAACAGCAAAATAATCTCACCAATCCAACACAGACAGTCTCTACGCCACTCTTTCACAGGATGATAAAATGATTACCTCAAAACACAGGCAGCATACTTTTATTTCCTTTGCCTCTGTGGAAATTTAACTTCTGTAATTATTTCATATTCTGCTCGGCAAAAGAATCAGTTGAGTATTGATCCATCTCTCTCCAACCCTAAGCTAAAAGTTTAACCCAGCTCTCAGCAGTAGCCTGTTCACAGTCTGATGTTATACTGCCCCCGTGTGGCTAACTGGAGCACCTGCATGTCCAATCACCGAAAGATCCATCTTATTCCAAAGCATCGTTGGAAGCATTAATAAATATATTATACACAAAATAACCCCACTCAAACATAGTGCTTAAATTTTGACCATGGATCATCTACACATGATTCAATTAGTAACCAGTTTACATGTAACAAAGTCATCATACAAAAGCCTGAGTTCAGGTGATGTTACTTGGCTGTTTTGGTCATTGGAACTTCTATTAAAATGAAATGATCAGTGCAGTTAAGTAATCTGTCACTACACTGATTTAGTGTTGGCTATACTTGAAATGTGGGTCCATACCTTAATCTGATGTTTAATACCAGTGACTGCAGATAGCCTATGACCTCTGGTAATGATGGCACAGTAATACTGGTTGTATTCCCAAAAAAATGCCTTGAATATGACACAGAAATCTGTCACAGGCACATTACATTTCATTGAAGATTGTTGCAAGAAAATTCAAAATCAAAATGTGTAACTTAATTGCAGAGGACTGACACGTGACTCAAAGCCTTCAGTAATATCGCCTGTGTGTGAGAGGAGAAAATAAACAGTCTGATCACGGGTGACGAGCATTTCTAATTAAAACAGGTGTCCATCATCAGCCTGATTAGATGGTGCCAGAGACTGCATGAAGAAAATAAACCAAAAGAGGACATCTAGTGGCGGAACTAAGGAATGACAAGGAACGAAGCACAAAACATATAGAGGTGAAGTTTTACAAGTTTTCTACATAAAGTAGACATGAAGCTTTATTGTTAGATTAAGTATAAAAATGGGTAAAACTCAGCTGACAGCAGTGTATACAACTGCCCAGTTCAGCATCTAGGTTATCATACCAATTAGCACTTTGTCCTGTAAGCGTACCTATTTTACATGAACTTTTTACTATATTATTATTAATGGCTTAATTTACCTCTAAGTGAGTATGATGTATAATAATCACCCCACGTTCAGTTTAATTTTATACTTTATTGCAAAAGTGTATGATGTAGATTTACCCTTGTTTAAGTATGATGATATTTATAATTCTAGCATTCTTATAATAGTATATATTTTACAATGACCAAGAAAAAAAAGGAAAGAAAAAAGGACAAACACTTGATAGAAAAAGGAAAAACAATAATTCAAATTCAACACTGAGCAGGTGTGGTTTTTTGTAACTGTTGTAATCTGATTACTTTCTTTAGCTCTGGTATATATAAGGACAAGAGACCAACTACAAACCAGCCATCACTTTTCAACTCAGTTTGCACAGACAGTTGCCAGAGCTTTAGTTTGTGAAGTAGTTTTGCTTGTTGTGCAGTCGCTTCAGACTGTGTTTGTGGAGCTTTGGTTAAAACATGTGCATAAATATCTGTAAGTTGTGCATTTTGTAAATAGGAAACCAGCGCTTTTCTGTATGTTTTTGGTTTGGACCACAGACTGGAGGCCTGTGTTTTTGATTCTTTTGGGTTTTCAACTGAACTTCTTTGTTTGGATCCTTCATGAGTAAAAAATCCAAGCTGGTCATTCATGGGAACAGAGGGTGAGTATTCTCTACACTGTGTGTTATGACCAGGTCTGACATGGCAGGAGCATTCGCTTTGGATGATCTGCAATGTACTAATCCATTTAAACTGATAGACACATCCTTACCTTGGGCAAATGTTGTTATACGAGTGAACATTAGAGGGCAGTCTTTAATAAGCAGTGACACAAACCTGCCTGACAGGAGTCTCCAAGTTTGCTAAATGTCCTAACATGACTTGTATGTTGCAATATGTCTTTAATCAATATTATAGATCATTTTTTAAATTACAGAAGAATAATACCAATAAATATTTTTAATTTACACTGAAACCACATTTAATTTGCTAAGTTCGAACCCTTTGTTTTGATACACATTGTGCTTTGTTGTCATTGATTTGGCCGTGCCATAAAAGATTAGCATGAGGCAAACTAAAGAAGATCTAGAGTTGAGTGGATTGTGAGAGTGAGAAAAAGGCAATGACAGACATGCAGTATTTGCAAAAGTACTTTTATTTTTGAGCCCTTAAGTACATAAAAACAATGACATTCTTGGAGAATGAAACGTCCGAGAGGCAATTCTGTTCAAGTACAGCAGTTTAACCATTGCAGTGGATTTCTTCATTCTTAAAAAAATTTAAAAAAAAAAACAAAAAAAAAAACATGGCAAAACACAGACTATTGTGTCCCTAAAAACACTGAGCATGGAACTGGGGTGAAGTGAGGGTGTATTGACACTTGATGCTTGGTATCCTGAAATTGACTGAATACGAGTTCTAGTACCTGAATTTGTTGACATTGCTCAAGCAAACCTTTACAAAACCAAAGAAATGCAGGCCTGGCCCACAATGCTTAGCAAATCTATAAAAATTGTGTTGTGTGTAATAACAAAACCTGTAAGAAAATAGAACAACAACATTGTAGATAAAAACCCTGACCTGATTTTGAGTAGTATCAAAGACATAAGATGTAAACATTAGAAAAATACAATTTACATATGTACAATGGGTCCTGCCCACAGTGAGTATTCCCCTTTTGGGAAGCAGATACAGTCTCTTCCAGGCACTCACCAACAATCAATAACTTATTTCAAAGAGAGGGTGAGGAGTCGTCTTAAATACCAAACTACTATAATTTAGCCAAAGAAATTCATATATGCACAGATATGTACAAAAACACCAGTGTTTTTTCTGACAGGCACTTTTGAAAACCACCAGCACAACTTGTTCCTATAGGAGGAAGTTTGTGGTATGGTATTATGGGATCAAATGCCATGAAGTATGTTATGGTTGCCAAGACACTACACCTAGACTCAAGTCCCTACAGGAGCGTTTAGTGTCACTGGCTTTGGCCAGATGCACAAAGTGTCCAGTAGTGAGGGGGCAGCTCGTGCTTCATCTGGGATGCTCTGACCACGATCCCACGGTGGATTTGGATACAAACAAAACGTCCCGTGTGGTCAGTGCGGCCTACATGTGCCTCTTCATGTGGAGAGCCAAATGATCAGAGCGTGAGAAGGCACGCTCACAGAGGTGACACTGAAAGGGCCGGTGCCCAGTGTGTTTCCTGAAGTGACGGGTCAGCTCATCTGACCTGGCGAACTTCCAGCCACAGCCTTCCCAGTTACAGTGGTATGGCTTTTCACCTGAGAGACACAAGGAGTTGGATTAGATTACAGGCTTCACAGTGACAGCAACACAAAATATGAAATCAAAATTAACTGGTTTGAAGGACTTTGGTTGTCAAAACCTGAAGTAAATGTGCTCACCTGTGTGTGTCCTCATGTGGGCTTTGAGGTGGGAGCTCTTGGTGTAGGTTTTCCCACAGCCCGGGAACTCGCAGTTGTGCGTCGCTGCACGTTTTCTGGCCCACGACCTGCGGCCTCGCTTTTGCTTGATGCTCCCCACCTCATCGTGCCCATAAAACTCCAGCAATGACGGCGACGAGGGAGGGGTGAGCATCATCCCCTGCAGAGAGGCCGGATGATGCTGCTGGTGAACGAGCACAGGCTCTCTGTGCATGTTATACTGTCCCTGAAACTGAGGCACGCTCTGGTGTGCGTACTGCGGCTGGTATGGTGCGTTCATGTAGTGGTTGTGGAGATGGTGTTGATTGGGGTGAGAGCTCACGGTAGAGTTCATTTGTGCCAAATGACAGTCTGAGCGTCCCTGAGGAGCAGGGTGCTGCATGGGATGCGCACCGAACCCATTTGGAACTGACGCATGGTGGTGCGTAAAAGCTGCTGGGTGCACGGTGCGAAGCTGGTGTTTATCAAACATCTGTCCCATAAAGTCCCCACCAGCTGCTGCCATCATACAGGACTGACTTACAGGCTCGTTTTTAATTTTGTATCCAAGCGGCGGCGGAGATGTGGCCACATGGTGATGAGCGGGAGCAGCTGCAATGGTGACCGGGTTCAACGCTCGCAGTTCGGTGTAGTCCCGTCCGTCTCTCGCCTTGTCTGCGCTGTCCGGTGAACTCTCACCCGGGTAGCTCATGTCTGGCGTGAGAAGCTCCGCCATTAGGCTGCGGACCGGGCTCGTGCCTGTGAAGCTCGAGGAGCCGTGGTAGCTCTGAGTGGCCAGGTGAGGGGAGGGGTGGTCGCTGCAGTCTGGAACAGAACCACCGCTGCAGCTCTCCGGAGACTCCGGCAGAGAATACGCGCACTGCTGCTGCTGCTGAGGGGGGGAAACATCGGAGCTGATGGTGTTGGACAAAATGAACTCGAGGTCCAAGAATTTCCCCAGTTCGTCGTCGTCTCTGGGAGGCAAAGCAGGAGACTGCACGATGCTGAACTCCACCTCAATGAGCGGGTTGTCTGCGCCACCTGTCGCGCTGCTCCGTGCACAATCATCCATTTTGCACAGCTGTACGGGAGCACACAGAAAACCTGAAGTTAGCCTAGTGTGAACAAGCAATCTGAACTAAAACTAAACCGCACACAGCCACAATCTCCAAACTCGGAACCTTCTACTTACGTTGTCAAACTGTTTTCCCTCCATGGCTTCAACACTTGGATATGAAGTCACTGCAGGAATCACAGCCTCAGCCACAGCCATGCTGACCGCTCTGAAGACACAAGCGCGAACTCTAAACCCGTCAGTGCGAACACTCTCAGTCCACTCAGTGTTTGTCCATAAAGCGTCGCGGCAGCTGAGGATCGTTCCAGGATTCAGGATGTAAAGTATCAACAGAGCCGACGGAGCCTATTATAAATCCTGCGCCGGGAGGTGTGGCTTCTACTCCCCGCCCCCTCCTAACAAATACTCACGCACAGCACAGCCCCCCCCCCCCCCCCCACACACACACACACACAAACACACACGCACACGAAATGATATTCAGGTGCCTCAGGCCAGGCAGGTATGTAATAAGAAAAAAAAAAAAGATTGAACGGATTAATAAATGAATGAACACCACTTTACATCTATGAGCTGTTGGAAGTGCACGTCTTTCATAATTAAACTTTCTACATTTTTCAAACTTCGTCAGAGGTTTGGTTATAAAATACACGCATTTTCTCACTGAAGTTTCATCCTTGATTAAGACATAACAGTGTGTTTAATATAAAGGCATCAAATTCATCTCCACTGCAGCGACTTCCCTTTCGTGGGAATCCAAACATTTCCCGTAAGGCAGATACAGGGGGCGATACTGATCCTGGAAAAACACTCCTTACTAGTTCCCTGGAGCTGTCAGTCTGCGGCTTCATACAGATGTTTATTGAAATATAAAATTAGACAGACATTTTTGCTGCCCTTGAACGCAACAGAGTGATTGGCATTTATTTTACGATGTAAAAGTCTCGCAGTCTCATTCACTCTCCACACACACACGCACGCACGCGCACACACACACACACACAAATCATTAATTTGTCCTGACTTGATCCCTGCACGTTTCACACAAACACAAACGTGTGAAGAGGCGGCTCATCGAAACAACCTGTTAATCTGGATGTCAACAAAGGACAACATGTTTCTTAATGATGTCCCCCCCCCCCCCCCCCTCAACAGCCCCGTAATGTCCCCTGCAGTCATTGCTATGGTAATGTACAGGTGGATGGCTCTCGATAGTGGAGAGCCACCAACAGGACAAGACTTTGAAAAAGAGAAGAAAAAAATATCTGACTTCTGTTTGACTTTGGGCCAGCTGTTGGTTCAGTTCCACATTTAATGAGAACTGCTTATAAACATGATTTTCTACCCACATTCTCAATGAATCTTTTTGGACTTGTGTTGTTGGGAGTTTTATGACACTTTGTTCAGGAGAGAGTTAGACCTCCATGTAGGAGAACATGATGCTCTGTGTCTGTGAAAAGGAAGATGCTGTTCTTCTTGTTATGAAAGGCATCAGTTTTCTTTTTGTTTTTTCACACAAAACTTAAAAGTAACTTTATCACAGTAACATAACAAGTCCCTGGTCCCGTATCGCTTTAGATTAGATGAGATAAAGTGTGTTTGATTCACTTTGAATCTGCAACAAACTGCAACAAAAGCCAAACTCATGCAAACTATGTCTCTCTCTCTCTCTCTCTGCTTCTGTCTGTGCTCCTGCAGGTGCTGTGACAGGCAGCGTCCTGCAGCTCTCTCCCTTTATACTCAGCTATATTTAACACGCTGGGCTTACGCAGAACAAATTCCGGTTCTGTCCCTGTGCCAAGTGGAAATGGACTCTGTTTCCTGAGGAAAACTAGACACTTGCTTCCTCGACTTTCACTCTGCAGTCACCTTTAGCGGGAAGAATAAAGGATGCAGACGTGGCGCAGCTCTTTGCCCGTCGCTGACTGACTTGACATGGACATTTTGTGTTTTTTAGTGTCCTTGAAAAATTCACAAATTGAAATATAATTTCCGAAAGAGTAAAACTCCCAACGCACTGAAAACATGTCGTGAGCTCCCCTGCAGAGAAAGCCATCCTCTATCTTGTTCATCACACTCAGGTCATGTAAAAAGCGACTGGCCAAGAGGAGAGAGAGATTAAGAGTCGCCCTGGGCTCAGGTTTCTCCTTTTGTCTCTCTCTTCTCTAAAAGGGAGGAAGTCTTCCAGCTCAAGTGTTTTCTAAACACAGTTACTGAAGATTACAGTTGAGCAGACAGAGAACCAAGGCATCTCCTCAGATGTTTCCTCACATTAAAAACCTGTTTTTATCTTGTTCAATTGTTTGTTTCTCCACTGAAAAAAAACAACTTGTTTTTCTTTCTGGAGTATGTCTGTTTTTTAAAGCATTACTTTGACTGGTGGGTTTTGTTGCTTTTAACTGACAATCAGATGCGTTGTGTGGGCTACTCCAACTACTTCTCTCCGTCTTTGATCCTCCTCTGTTCTCTGCTCTGTTTTCTTAGAGTCATCACTCTGTTGAACTGAAGGTCCTCATCATTATATGACTGGCAAATGATTCAGCGTCTCCCAGGTCCTGTTTCATATTTGCTTTGATGCTCAGAATAGACACAGGAGTTTTCACAGGAATCACACACCAGCGCATTAAGGACATTGGACTTTGCACAAATGTTCTATCTCTCATTTACACACATGACCATACATACGCATTGTTTCTGTGTTCCTCTCCAATCAGCAGCTGTGCTCAGAACAACCAGGAACAATCTACTTAGCAGCATGTGGGCACACATGTACACACACTAATGGCAATTATCCTCATCACCCACAAAGTCAGGGGAAACCCAACTTTTATCTTGGATAAATACGCCGTGGTGCATGGCATGAAAAAGCAACAAAGCGATTAGAGAGAGAGAGAGAAAAAAAAAGTACAACGACAGCACGGAGACGGGCTACTTACCTTCTAGAAAGATATCAAAAGGAGGTTGGGAGGAGAGGAAGTAAGAACAAACGCAAACCGATGAGAAGAATCATGGGAAAGAAGAAAAGCAACAACACCAGCCTGAGGCCCTGTAATCAGTAATTCTGCTCTTCCTGAGGCCAGAGTTTGACGCCTGTTGGGTCAAATAGTCTGAGAATGGGAAGACTGGGAGACTCTTTATGGCTGACCAGACTGAACTGGATTAGATGGGATGTCGGCTGATGAATGATTGCAGGATTTATAAACTTTAAGTTATTTGGTTTTAGATTTATTCCACACTTACTCATCGACTTGTTTACATACATGTGGAAAAAGAGAAATATACATTTTATTTTTTTTATGATGGTTACATTTACGTTTGCTCACACTGTTCTAATTTATTTCATGTGGCTTGATACAAAAACATCCAAAATGTGTAAAATACAAGTTAAAATGAAGTCACGTGTCTGATTTAACATGATCCCATATGTGAATGACTTCACTCGTTGTATCAAACAAAAGATAATTAGCCTGCTATAGTGTTTAGCTACCAACGTCCCTAAATGGTTTACCTTTTTCCAGAAGGCAAAGCTCACGGTGATTAAATGGTTTAGCACCATTCAGCACTAATGAAGCCATTAGCAGCTAGCTGCTAGCCTAATGAGATCAGGTTGCCGTGTACTTAGCAGAATGGTGGCTGATTTACACATCGTGTGTGCATGTGTGATCAGGATCAGAAGTAATTAGGATCTGGAGCAGTAGTGATGACCCACTGAGTAGATAGAGAGAGAGAGAGAGAGAGAGAGAGAGAGAGAGAGAGAGAGAGAGAGAGAGAGAGAGAGAGAAAAGTCACTACATCATTTTTTTATCATGATCAATCTTTCATTAATCTTGCTTCCCTTTTACTAGCACGGACGCCAGGCGTAAACATGCTAACCTGTTGAGTTTTGCAAGTACTACGAGTTAAGCTTTCAGCTCTGGACATTGAGATGACTGTAACATAAAACATTTTTTAAAAACACTGTTGGACTGAAGAGCAGAGGATCTGATTTTGAAAACGTAAAATACCAAATTAAAGGCCAGCAGCTGTTATTCTACCTGATCTAGCACTTTATTCAAGTGTACTGGAAAGAACCGGTCTCACTTCTTTCTGTCTCAGTTTCAGCTCTTTATTCCACCACATTAGCCTGTAGCAGCAGCTGAGAGTCGGCCCATTCTGGCTACCAGCTCACTCTTTACCTGAAGGGCCATTTAGCCTACCTGTTCCACCTGTTGGGGCATCTTTTGTGTGTGTGTGCATGTGTGTTTCGCATGGCAGTGTGTTCATGTTTGTGGGAGTTTGGAAAGCAAATTGAAAGTAGATTTTTGGCAAGACGACAACCATTATATTAGTTATACACATACAGAGCTACACCGTTCAGCAAATTATCAAGAAATCTGGCAAAAGCCAAAGCATGAGGATGAAAGCAGAGACATAGAAAAGAAATTTGCCCTAAATCAAAATATCAATATACGGGAGTGAAAGTACAAATACTGTAAAATATCCTTCAAATCTGGGAACACAAAAAATATTTGAATGAATAGTGAAGCTAAAGCAAAACAAAAACGCACTATGAGGAAACTTAACATAGCGAAACACAGTGTTAAAGTCAAAAACACTTCACGGAAAACCCATTAAAAAGCATTTCTAAATTTGAAGCACAATTTCCTTTGTTGTCTTTGCTATGAATACTTGTTTGTACCTTGAACCCGTGTGTGATCAGTTGTTCCCACGTGTTGTCAGACATCAGACAGGCAGCCAGGCTCTTCATCAAGATAGATTTTACCTTTGATAAACAGGTGACAGTGTTTAACCACACCAATTTGCATAACATCAAAAGGTCACACATGTCCCATGGAAGTCAAGTGAAACCATTCATTTTTATTCTTCTTAGAAACCTCTCTTAACCAGGTCTTTCTGGAAAATCAACCTTTCACTTCACAAAATTTACTTTTACATTAATTAGCAAAGGTCTCGTTACAGTTTTTTTTTTTTTTTTTTTTTTTTTTTTTTTTTTTTTTTACAGTCTATAGTATTTGCTCAGTTCCTTTGGAATCAAATACCACACAATTAAATAGTTTTTAAATATATTTTCTTTTTTTAAATTGACATTGGAGACCAAGTGATTCAAGAGGACACAGCAATTTTGTTGTTGTAGCTATTTTAGACTGAAGCATGTCATATTATACAGCTTATAGAAGATTAATACATGGTATTTTCCCCATTTTATTAAACAAACCTACTGCTGGTTATTTACTCTTATCCTTTTGAGACATCTTCCTTTACCAACATTCAACATTTGGGAGTACCCATCATGCTAATAAG